GTAATTAATGACTATTTATATTCATAACTTTATCATTACCCAGTTGTAACTAAATAAAGTTACAAGTCAAAGCAATTCTTCCACATCAACTACCTATATGCACACTTTGAACAAAATGCATGAATATTAATATTTTAAAGTTTTTATTTTTTTAAAATATTTTTTATTGATTCAGAGAGGAAGGGAGAGGGAGAGAGAAACATCAATGATGCGAGAGAATCATGGGTTGACTGTCCCACACTGAGGATCGAGCCTGCAACCCAGGCATGTGCCTGGATCAGGAATTGAGCTATGACCTCTGGTTCATAGGTCGAGGCTCAACCACTGAGCCACACTGGCCGGGCAATATTTAAAATTTTTGAATGTGACAGATAAGCTTGGTTGCTTGTCAGCCTATCTAATTGAGGTTGGATTGTTGACAGGGCTTGTGTAGGGATGATATATAACTGAGCTGCTTCTTTCTTTGGTCTTAACATTTATAGTAGAGAAACTAGTCTCACAGAGCTGTTGACAGGAAAGGAAGAAGATATTTTAAAGTGATTCAGAAAGTTCAGGATATTCATTTTTAATTCCCATCCAAAATAAAAGCAAGTGATGATGTATCCCCAAAATGTCTCCGAATCTTCATCCAGCTCTAACAATTTATGATGTAAAAGTTAAATATAAATCCTGACTGTGATATACTTGTGGGTAACAGTTGGCAAACTAACCATAGACTAGCTTCCATTACAGCATGGAGTGTGGTGCATGACTAGGACAACCTGCTCTCGGTGACTCACCCCACAAGCTTTCCAGTATCCAAACTGGTCTGTGCCTCATTCACTGAGATGAGTCTGATGATCATGTGTTTGGATATCATCATGTCAAATCCTATAAAAATTTCTCAACACTTAGAGCATTGCAAACTGCTAACAGCCCAGACCTGCACCAGTCTCTGGCCCCCCGGCCCACTGGCAAGTTACCAGAGACCCTTTCATCTTCCGGGGTAGCCGAAAGTAGAGGGAGTATTGCTAGTGGAGATAAAAAAAAAAAAAAAGCTCACCAAAACCACCAAAGACTTTTAAAGGAGGCAAGAACATCTACCCTGATTCCTTCCTTATTCTCTCATGTGTTATGCTTACATGTTCTAAATGACACCACTTTTTCTTTCCTTCCTTGTCCCACCCGTCTTTCTCTCCATCACATAAAGGTATCACACAGAGGTGGTTTACTTGATATTTAGTCCACAAACATCAAGTGGTGCCAGAAGGCAAACAAGTGCTCAGAAAAAATGATGTGTCAAAAGGACATAGGAGCCAAAGAAAGGAGCTCCCATTTGGCCAAATCTGGGACAGAATAAATGATTATAATCCAGTAATGGATTATAACACAGAGACTAAAACAAATATCCATGAGTTCAGGTAATCTATCTATCTATCTGGCTAATATGCAAAGTATCCCCTTGGGAGTTCGACCGGGAGACTGGGAGTTTGATTGCTCGCTGTGACATGTGCTACCAGGGGGTGACACGGAACAAAGAGGAAGGAAAGCCCTGGCTGGTAGCTGCAGTCAGGGAAGGAAGGCCCTGGCCATCAACCCCAAGGCCCCCGATTGGCTCTGATTGCCGGCCAGGCCTAGGAACACTACCCATGCACAAATTTCGTGCACCGGGCCTCTAATAAATAGAATTGATAAATTAGTGGGAGAAAAGGGAAAGCTCTTTACAGAGTTCCAATTAGTAAGTATACTGGGAATAATGGATTGAGAAAATCATTATTTGGCAAACACCACAGTAATTATTATTTCAGGCAAGAATCAATGGATGCTAAAATGAATGGGTAAAAGTAGGATGAAAAATGGGATATAAACAGTCTTAAAGTGTCTAAGTATAGCCCAGCCAGTGTAGCACAGTGGTTGAGCATCAACTTATGAACCAGGAGGTCACGGTTTGATTCCTGGTTGGGTCTGATTGCAGGCTCAATCCCCAGTATGGGGTGTGCAGGAGGCAGCTCATCAATGGTTCTCTCTCATCATTGATTTTTCTCTCTCTCCCTCTCCCTTCCTCTCTGAAATCAATAAAAAAACAATGTTTTAAAAAGACATAGCAAAAGAAAATAAAAATTGATTCAATATTATTCCTAATAGAATTAGGCTATAAGCAGTATCTATCACATATAAAATCTCAAATGTTTTATAAACCCAGAATATTCTACAATTAAGATAGGAAGTGATTGGGTTTTTCTTTCTTTTTTTTAAAAAAAATATATATTTTATTGATTTTGTAAAGAGAGGAAGGGAGAGAGATACAGAGTTAGAAACATCAATAAGAGAGAGTCATCGATCAGCTGCCTCTTGCACACTTCCCACTGGGGATATGCCCGCAACCAAGGTACATGCTCCTGACCGGAATCGAACCCGGGACCCTTCAGTCCCCAAGCTGACGCTCTATCCACTGAGCCAAACCGGTTTCAGCTGGGTTTTTCTTTCAATGCCAGTGGATAGTCAGCCATGAGGCTTTCCTGCTTTTCACACATAGTGATTTATGTTCCTGAACAAATGAGACTTAATTTAAGAGCAAATCATCAGCAACAGGTATAATAATCTTGGCAGAACATTTATTTTAATTAATTGCTTTCTGTCTAACACAGATAGAAGGGTGCTGATGCCATTTACCCTATAAGGATTAGTGCTGTCATGTAATTAATTTTTTTTCTTTCCCTAGAACTTAAAAGTCATCAGTTTTAAATCACAAAGGCATTGGTTTACTTCATTGTTAATCATAACAATCTAACTTTTATGCACTGTTTATAGAAGAAACTGGTGGAAGAAAAATGAATTTTAATCACTGCAGCATTACAGATTTCCTGCTTCCCAAACATAGGCCCTGAGGGGTGCCATGGGGGTCAGTATTTGGGGCTAGGCAGTTGAACAACCTTCACCTCATAACCTTGGCAGTGGGTAGCAGCGGAGCATACTTGTGATTTTAGAATAGTGCAGTTTTTCTTCCCTGTGGAATTCACTATCTACTTCGTAATTCCTTATTTATTATTTACTAGTGGCCCGGTGCATGAAATTCATGCACATTAAAAGAGGATTAATTAGAGGAAATATTTTAATATTGCTATTTGCCCTTTCTCTATAACAGAAGTGTCAGAGATGAAAGAAAATTAGTAACATGTATATGAAAACCTTCCTCCTGTTAGTCTGGGACGTGCTGCGGGACCCAGAGGCAAGTCCCTGCCCACCTGTGGCACCTCAAAATCTCGTGAGACCCAGACCCATCCGGCCCCACCCCCATTGGATGAGATCCAGACAGGGCCAGTCCCACCCTTTTCAAGCCCTGCCAGCTGGGGGAGGGGGGAAGGGGGCAGGGCAGGCTCAGGTCCCCCAACAAGCCTCGCTGGGTGGGGGTGGGGCACAGCCTCAGGTCCCTGCTGATTGCTCATTAAGGCTCATTATGGCAATTTGGCCTCCACTGTGGGTACAGCCATCTTGTGTTATGGAAACCCCCACCTCCACTGTGGGTGCTGCCATCTTTGTGACGGTATGACGGTCAATTTGCATATTTCCTCTTTATTAGATAGGATAGTTTAATGGGAGGCAAAAATAAAAATATTTCCTTCACACTATGGATGCTTAATACTGCGGCTGTCAAAGGTTCTTGCAATAAGTGGTAGAAAACACAACCAAATAGACTCCGTTTTCTCAAATCTGCTGACCCTTATTGTTACTTAGAAATGATTTGATGATCTTTTCAAAGAGGCAGCAATAGCTGATATTAAACCCACATAGGATACCCAGGGGCAGGGCAGTGTAACTCTCATACTAACATAATTTAGCTACATCATCATGAAATTTTAAATTCTATGTAAGTCATTTAAGAAAATTGTAACCTTTAAACCTCTGCTTTGGATAGTCCTTCATATTCTAACCAATTAGTTGGCAAAATTATATACTATAGGGAAACTTAAGCCTTTCCTTCCTAAAGTCTAGTTTAAATTGATCATATATTCTGTATAAATGCAATCACAGGAGTGGTGATCAAAGTGTCCACCTTCTATTTGGTAGCTCAGGAGGTAGTGAGAATAAACATGTTAAAAAGAAGCATGAAACTGTGTAACAAAATGGCCAATTCCAATGAAATAAAATCCTGTTTAGGTAGGGTTTTACCATATAAAATAGATTTAGTATTGAAATGACACAGATTTGGAATCATTAACTTTATTTGTCACTCTTCACAGACATTGGTCCACTTCCACATCAAAAGTAGGAACATCTAAACTTAGTCTTCGATAACGACATTGTACCACAAACATAGTAACTTACAGAGAAAAGTTACTGAGATAAAGAGATTTTTATATTCATGACCTTAGACATCCCCCAAATATCTGTCCTATCTGTATAATTATGAGGCCTTAAAACTCCACAAAGCTATTTCTTATTAATTTAGTATTTTAATAGCCACACTAGACCATCGGATCACCAAACTTTCAAGAGGCTGGAAAACAGATGCAGTTCCTTATCTAAGTGACTATATGCACATGCATAGTTTAGAGCTGCTTTAAAGTTAAAAGTCTTCTCTCGTTTCAGAAATATTTACATCAAATTAAGACATTTATAGTAGCTCACAGTACATAACAACCTAATACCATTGTCGCCTGTCCTGTGAGGAAGTTAAGCATTCATAATCTAATAAATTCAGTGCACTTTGTCAACATAAATAACACAAGCTATTCTAAACGTTTGACATTTATTTCAGTGCATTATTTTCAAATACTAAATGGAATGAAATTATAATTACTGGTTATATCATAATTGAGCATATTACGGAATCTGTTACACAAATAATTCACATCAGTACTCTTATTCATTCTAAAACAACTTCACAGGCACACACAAAATAGAGAACAAAATTTGCTTTTAAAAAAATGTAAAGTATACTGTCAACTTTACACTGAAAGATTTATTTTCACAAAACAGCCTATTTCCAAACCCCTTTTCTAAGTTTGACTTGAGAAAGTTCAATCCATCCGAATCTTCTGGTTTGTCATCCTGTAAATGATGCTATCGTATCCAGGATCCATGTTCCAAATATTGTAAGAGGTGATAATCACAGCCAAGGCCAAGCCGATCATTATCCAAAGCACCATGTTGAAAATCACTGAATACTCAAAATTATACTTATAAGCAAGATTATAGGGGCTTGATGGGTTCTTCTACAGTGAAGAAAGAAAAGGAAGAGGGAAGAATTTTAAGAGGAAATTACCCAATGCAGCAGCTCCGATTCATCTCTAACAGGCCTTTACTCCTAAGTGGGTAAGAGCTTGTTCAAGGAGGGACCAGGAGGGAGCTTGCAAGGAGGAGCACACGCTCTGCTGACTGAGTGTGAGCAGGTTCAACTGCCACCGGTGACTTAAGGTTTAGTGGGGTTTGCAAGTGAATGTCACAGTTTTAAAGCAGGATCTGAAAACGTCCTTACCTCTTGTTTTGCTTCAAGGATAGTCCTTGTCTTCCTCACAAGGGATGTGTCGAAGGATCTGACAGTCACCAGCTCTACCACTGCATTCCCACCATAGAGACCATACATGTCATCTGCAAACTGAGCAGTCAGTGACATTACGTAAATCTTAACTACACGTTTATTTAAATTATTTGTAAAGCTTCTATGCACCTACAAGACAACATACCTACCTATTGGCTCATGAAATACAAGCTTAGAACAGGCAAGTCTTAAACGTTTCAACATACATTCAAATGTTCCAAATAACTTGAAGGGCCTGGATTTTTGGCATATAAGTTGGGAGAAGGGAAGTAGGGAAGGGAAATGAAAGAATCTTCCTAAACGGTCTCTGGTTCATCACAAACATTTAACTGGAAACCTCATTAAAGAGTTACAGGCGAGTAATTTCAAGAGCAAGAGAAATGAGCGTTTATTACCTACCTACTGAATGTCTGCTACCAGCTTGGTGCTCCGCTTTGATTATTGCATAGTGTGTAATGGGGACAGGGTTTGGTGGGGAAGAGGAAAGGGTCCAGTAACGGATGGCAGTGGTGGCTGCCCAGCAATTTGAATGTACTTAATGTGACAGAACTCTATGCTTAAAAATGATCAAGTGGTAAGTTTTATGTTACATATATTTTAGCACAATGAGAAGAAAAGGTATTGAGCTGGAGTTATCCATCATTTCCTACGCTGCCTCTGCCAGCATTCCAGACGTCCCAGTATACATATACATATACATCTTTGCTGTACTCTCTCCTGGGCCACGAAAATCAGAAGTTCTCCAAAGAGCATGAGTTCAAACAACATTAAATATTCCACTAAACAGACTTTTCCATTAAGATGCTAAAAGTGAGGTGGTCATATTGTAACCTCTCATACCCCACTGATAATTTACCTTTTGTAGAGCATCAACAAGGATCTTAGAAGCATCTCTGAATTGTTCAGAATCTTCTCCGTAATGTTTCCCAATTTCATCCAAACCTGCCAGTTCCAGTGAATATAAATCAGGAGAATGGTCCTTGGCTAGATGCTTATGTCGAGACAACTGAGGAGAGCAAAAAAAAACAAAATAAAGTGGATGAAGTCATATCAAACACAGCCAATTAAAGTTTTATGCCCAACTAAACTAGGCTGAACAGAACCAGCCCGTGTGCCACAATAGTCTAAAATGGCGGCAAATGGAGCTGGTTTAAATGGGAGTTTCCAATAAATCCAACATAAATCTCATTTTTAAGAGCAGTTCCAGGACTACATGAATATTTAATAAAAGCTCTTTTTAAATTTTCTTTTAAAAACTTCAGATATGAAAGAACAGATGGTTGGACCAGTCTGATCCCAGAACATGAGCCATCAACGCTCAGAGCAGACACTTCCCACAGTAACTTACAGAGAAAAGTTACCCCCCGGCGGCCCCTGGACCAGGCTTCCAGCTCCAGGAGCCAGCCCTGCTGGAAAAGTTTGGGCAACGACTTCAGTAGACGGCGAACAGGTATGTTTTTCTGTTTCAGTCACAGGAAGATTTTTGTGAAAAAAATAATTCACCAAAAATACCCTTTAGGCAGGATTTATTCCCTTCCTGACTGGGTGGACAGCTTTGAGTTAGTCCAAACTGTTATTTCTATTTTAAATACAGGGTTTAAGTCTTAATGTTTCACAAGAAATCATAGCCGAGCCAGGGCTGCAGCCAGAATGCCCACTCAAGTCCTGTGTTCTTGGAGGAGATACTTACTACCGCCTGAGAGCAGAAATCCAAGGTAATTTGACTAACATGAGTTCAAAATTCCCACCCCACCACCAATTCCTCAACTGGCATGGCAGCGCAAACGTGGTCTAACTTTGCTATTGGCTCACTAGCATGCACAGGTTCTCTAGAAGCGTCTTCTGGCACCAACGTAATTGGAACTGAACAATCAGAGCAGCTACTCACCAGACTTGAAATGTCATGTAGAACTTGCAGTTCGGAAAGGAAGAGCAGATCGACCTGCAGAGCAAAAGAAATGCGCAGTGCCTTCAATATGCATCGCAGAGCTGAGCTCGCCACTTATCAGTGAGGCGCAGGTATCACAAATGCTAAGCACATGAGCGAGCTTACACAACAGTTGCCCTCCATTTGGTAGGTTCATTTCCATGGACAATACATGAGACATCACTTCCCACCAGAAAAGGGATGGCCATCCCCACCCAGTGACCACCACTCAGTAGCTGGGTCTTTTTATTTAGTTTTTAATGTTTTTATTAACTTTTTAGAGAAAGGATAGGGGGTAAGGAGTGGAGGGAGGGAGGGAGAGAGAGAGACAGACATTGATCGGTTGCCTCCTGCACACTCCCTGCTAGGGAATGTAACCCACAACCTGGACAACTGTCCTGACTGGGAATTGAACAGGTGATCTTTTGGTACGGAATGACACTTAACCAACTGAGCCATCCCAGCCGGGGCTCAATAGCCATATTTCTTTTTTCTTTTTAAAAAAATATATTTTATTGATTTTTTTACAGAGAGGAAGGGAGAGAGATAGAAAGCTAGAAACGTCAATGAGAGAGAAACATCAACCAGCTGCCTCTTGCACACCCCATACCGGGGATGTGCCCGCAACCAATGTACATGCCCTTGACAGGAATCGAACCCAGGACCTTTCAGTCCGCAGACCGACACTCTACCACTGAGCCAAACCGGTTTTGGCAATAGCTACATTTCTGATAAAGCTATGATCAAGCATCTAAACTCTACAGTTTTTCCTCAGGATGTCAGAATGTTCTGGCACACTGCAGTGAGGCCTTGCCAGTGGCCCTGTTTGTCTACATCCCTTGAGCATGTCCTACATTGGAGAATAAAGGACAGTGGTCCTGGTCAACCATAGTAGGAGAGGGCGAGGGTGCCAGACAGGTGGTGTGCCACGTGGTCAAGAGGGTGTGTGAGCGGGTGGTGAAACTGACAGACAGGAGTCATACCTAAGGGTGGCTCCCTCACTGTCAAGAATAAACTAGAGCCCCGGCCAGTTTGGCTGGGTGGACAGCATGTCAGCCTGAGGACAGAAGGGTCCCAGGTCCTATTCCGGTCAAGGCTCAATCCCTGGCCCCAGGTGGGGCGTGTGCAGGAGGCAACCTATCGATGCATCTCTCTCACAATGATGTTTCTCTGTCTCTCCCCTTCCCTTCCACTCTCTAAAACTCACTAGAAAAATATCCTCAGGTGAGGATTAGCAAAAAATAAAAAAATAGAAAAGAAACAAAGGAGAATGAACTAGAAACATGAGGGAACACATCACAAGTGGCAGTGAATGAGGGCACCCACAATGCCAGAGTGGCCAGCTCCATCTGCCGCCAGGTAAGTCCCGTGATTTCTGGTTTGTCCCGATTCACTGGTGACAACCCTCATTGGAGAATGTAACCCTGCTTACCACCACAGTTCAGCTCACCAGCGGCGCGGACTCACGCCGTCCACGAGAAAACTGCACTAAGGAAAGAAGAATCGACTCCAGCCATAAACTTGCAAAAGTCAGCAGCATAAGAAATGGGAAAGCAGTAATGAGATTAACTTGTGCGTCCGTAACTATACTTACTTCGTTGTTCCTGCTCAGGGAATTGAGGGGAAGCGAGTTGAGGACAGAGTTTTCTTGAAACAGGCGACTGCGGAGCTGTCGTAACGTTACTGAAAGATCTTCAAAAGCTGAGTTTGCCTTCCCCACCATGTACACTCTCTGCAAGAAGAATCCAAAAGTTTCAGCTGTGTCCTACAGAGTAAGTCCAATGTACCACGGCATTGTTCATAAAACTGGTTTTGAGTTTTCATTAACTAATGAAAGCTATTTTCTTAAAGCATCTTAAATAAAAAGTCTATCACTTACTTCCTCGCTGGGAGCCAGCTGCAAAACTACTGGCGTTTCTTCAGAAAATAAGGAGTGAATGGAATTTGCAACACTGTCCAGGTTGAAAGGAACTGCCTGAAATTGAAGAGGAGGACCTTAATTATTATCTCAACCAAAGTGCGAAGAAGAATCATTCAGATGGTATTAAAAAAGGAGCCTCAAAAAAAAAAAAAAAAAAAAAAAGGCATCAGCATTTTCTAGGGAAATTCAAAAGACCCAAATCACATCCGAACACTGAGTCCTTTTGAGGGCACAGAAGGTCAGACAGCTTCCTAGCGGGCCAATGAGCCTGTCCCCCAATGCGCCCCAACAGGAAATGACCTGCAAACACCACGGACGCAATGCTGTCTTGCATAAACCATCATTTTCTGGTGGTCATATGTGTATTTTAAACAGCAGTATATTTGGTCTCAATATTAATTAAACATTTGACAAAGAATGTATATTCTACAATAAAGTATAAACTTTCACTCAGGTCAGCATACACCTGAAACGCGTAGAATGCCATTAACCAATGTCACCCCAATACATTAAATAAAAAGAAACCAGGTCAGATTTTGAATTGAATTGTATTGAAAGAAACAGATCTCATTTTTCTTTTTTTAAGAAATGTGTGTTTGTTTATTTTTATTTTTTAAAATATATTTTATTGATTTTTACACAGAGAGGAATTGAGAGGGATAGAGAGTTAGAAACGTCAATGAGAGAGATACATCGACCAGCTGCCTCTTGCACCCCCCACACTGGGGAATGTGCCCGCAACCAAGGTACGTGCCCTTGACCAGAATTGAATCCGGGACCTTTCAGTCCGCAGGCCGACGCTCTATCCACTGAGCCAAACTGGTTTTGGCAGATCTCATTTTTCATTTCAAAATTTTAAAAATGTTTAATAAGACTTAAGGTTTGTCTTCAGATACACTGAAGACTCTTAGACAAGGCCTAAATTGTGTCACAGAATTTCAAAGGGCTTTTATTGTAGGACTATGTGATATTAAACTGAAATAACTACTTGTGGTAAAACCTTCCTTGAACTTTTTTTTATTGAAGTGTAACATACATGCAATACAGTGCACAGACCTTGGGGTAACAGCTCAAGGAATGTTCACAAATGGATACACTCCTATAATCCCCCCAGATCCAGACCGAACGTGATCAGCACCATAGAGCCTTCCCCATCAGTCAGTCCACCCCAAGAATAACCACAAGTCTGACTTCTGTCCTCACAGATCTCTTTTTGCCCTCCCTTAGTTTTAAGAATAAATTGTGATAATTTTCCCCTCAAAATAATTATTTAATCTCAATATTGTGGTACTAAAACAAGCACTGTAGCCCAGCTGGTGTGGCTCAGGGGTTGAGCATTGACCTATGAATCAAGAGGTTATGGTTGATTCCCGATCAGGGCACAGGCCTGGGTTGCGGGCTTGATCCCCAGTGTGGGGCGTGTAGGAGGCAGCGGATCCAAGATTCTCTCTCATCATGGATGTTCCTATCTCTCCTTCTCTGAAATCAATTAAAATATATACTTTAAAAAAACAAGCAGTATAGTAGTGGTTTTGCTTTAATGGAGATTTCTTCCAGTAATTCCTTTTACTATTAAAAGATTCATGTTTATAAGCAGCAAAGTAATGCTAACATGGTACAGGCAGAAATTATTGGGATTATATAAACCTTACTGATCAAATTCCCACCACTCATGATGCTGTGAAACAAAATCATTTCCTCTTAGTCAAGATGCACATTAACTCTCCCCAAAATTCTCCTAAAGTGAGTTAATGAGCAAATGAGAGGAGAACGTTCACGCTTGCGGGAGCATCCTGCGTCAACCACAGCTCTGCCTGTGCAGCAGCCACTCCCGGCCTCAGGCTCGGACACGCACCCAGTGGAACGGCACGAGGGGCAGGACAGCTGGCGGACTGGTGAGTCAGAGCTGCCTGCTGGGGAGGAAAGGGGGTCTCACAGCAGCTGTCAGCGCCTGCTGGAAGGGGGAGGGAGGGAGGGAGCCTCCAGTCGCCTTCCAGAAAAATGAGGTGAAATTCTAAAGGGAAAGTGACAAGATAACGCCCGAGACAGTGTCAGGGAGCCACGGCGACTGCTTTCCGTTTTCCGAGCCTGACTGTTCCGAGTGGGGCCATTTGTCTGCCGTTTATCTGAGACAGTGCTCCGTGCACGGGGCCAGACGAGCCTCCGCAGCTCCCAGCCGCCGCTCACTGCTTGTTCCAGTTGTTTCACTTATCAATCAGCGCGCAGACAGACGGCGCGGAGAACCGCTCCTGCTGACAGCTGACAAGCAGCCACACGGCGCTGGCTCCGTACTCACGTTCTGCAGCGGGTAGGAGGTGACGCTGCCCGGGGGCAGCGCGAGCCGGTCCACGCCCTTCACCATCACCATCACCGTGGCCTGGGGACGATGGAAGAGGTTTCCCACGGCGAGGCCCGGCCAGGAAAGGTCCTGAAGGTGGAAAAGCGCCAGACGGCGCTGAGTTACCAATTCGGGGAAGCATGCTGGAGCTTCTGTGAAAACAGCTAAGACTGTGGTCGGCAAACTGCGGCTCGAGAGCCACATGCGGCTCTTTGGTTCCTTGAGTGTGGCTCTTCTACAAAATACCATGGTCAGTGCCCTTATAAAGGACCTGGAGCAAGAAATGGCCGCTGCTTAGCAGCCACCCAGCTAGTGTTCTGTAACAGCAGCAGGAACTAAACCAAATCTGTACTGAAAACAATAAAAGTATGTGTCCTGTTAACAGTGTATATATACGAAGAGTGTCACTACCATGAGTAAATTATTACATGGACAACGATTTATAAGGATTTGGTTTCATAAGCCAAGCTTGTACTTATCCAAAATCTCCCTAACTACAAATGAGCCTTTTCACTTCTGCAACCTGTACCAAATATACCTATGTTTGCTTGTTGCTTTCTAGGGCTATTTGCAGAAATCAACAAAAATGCTTTTAGAAACAGCTCTAATTAAAAACAATTATTAATTGATTTGAGAGAGAGAGAACATCGATTTGTTGTTCCACTTATTTATGCATTCATTGATTGATTCCTGCATGTGCCCTGACCGGGGATGGAACCATATCGGGATGAGCTACCCGCCAGGGCCCAAATACGTATTTTTAACGCACGTACTTCTTTCACAGAGAAGCCCATGGACAGTGCCGCCACGTCCGGGATGCGCTCCCCTGGGATAGGCCAGCTTCCATCGCGGAAAACAACGGACCCTGGAGATCTTAATATACTGAACTCGTTCCCCAAAACACCTGGAAGAGAGCAGATTAGTAAGTGAATGATGAGCACATAAATCTTCTGCATCCATGTTGGAAAGTATGAAGTATGTTTCCCCATTCCCAGTGACTTAGCACACTGAATCATGATGGGACAAAACGCCGAATCGTAAATAAACATCAATGAGTTCTTTTTCAAGGTATCAAAGAATTGAAGCACACACATCTGCTGTAACAAAGATACAACTATGAAACCGGGTTCCCCGGATGATCTAGAGGGCTTCCTACACATGGCTCTTAGCCAGGGGCACGTGGCAATCTGTCAAGTATTAGAAATCAGTGGCACTCTCCAGAATTTAAGAAACAAAAAACCAAACCCCAGCACAGACTGACGAGAATGAAATCTTAAAAACTCTACATTATTTCTACCATCGACCCTCTCTTCGAAATGCAAATTCACAAAATGTCCTAGCGTTTCACCCTAAAACGTTAGTAGGTTAGTATGTTAGGGAAGACCAGAACTTTCATCCCTAGCCAGACCTAGTGAAACAAGGCCAGTGAAGTGGGGGTGCATGTTACCAGTCAGGATACACACCACCAGGCTATAGAAACAAAACCTAGGAACTAGCATTCCCAATGGACATATGAGGAAGGTGAGAAAAGGTATTTTGTAATCATAAAGTTAGTCTAGGGATATGAGGAGAAGCCCAGCCGGTGTGGCCCAGTAGTTGGCATTGACCATGTTTGGTGTTGCGGTGTTGACAGTGAACAAAAGGCCTCCGATGGTGCTGACAAAATGAGTTGCAATTCAGTGCAGCCACCAGAGCAGAAATTTCCAAACTGTTCCAGCCCGAGGTGGACCAAACAAATGCGCAGGATGGAATGGCTGTTTGTAATGGGTACACTGAAGGAGTATTTTGCAAACTCTGAGGAAAATGGGCAAGAGACGCTTTCCTTCAAAGCACACACATTAAAAAGCCACGTCTGCATCCGGCGTAGCCCTGCTTTGAGATGTGGCCCTACTCACTCCACCCAGCAGTGTCACACTCAGTTCCTTTGCCGTGGCTTCATTATTTTTTTAAAGGTTTTCATTGTTTTTTTTGGATTCTGTTTTCTCTCTCTTTTTTTTATTGTCTAAAGTTTTACATATGTCTCCTTTTCCCCCCAATTGATACCCTTCCCAAGCCATTCCCACCCCGGGCAAGCCCCCACCGCCCCAGTGTCTGTGGCCATTGGTTATGCTAATATGCATGCACACAAGTTCACTGATTATTTTATTTTATTTATTTATTTTTAAAATAGATTTTATTGATTTTTTACAGAGAGGAAGAGAGAGGGATAGAGAGTTAGAAACATCGATGAGAGAGAATCATCGATCGGCTGCCTCTTGCACACCCCCTACTGGAGATGTGCCCGCAGCCAAGGTACATGCCTTTGACCGGAATCGAACCCGGGACCTTTCAGTCCGCAGGCCGACGCTCTATCCACTGAGCCAAACTGGTTTCGGCTCATTGATTTTTTTAAAGAGAGGGAGACAGAAACATCAATGGTGAGACAGAATCATTGACTGGGTGCCTCCTGCAAGCCCCCCACTGGGGATCCAGCTCATAACTGAGGCCTGTGCACTGACCGGGCATCGAACCGTGACCTCCTGGTTCATAGGTCAAAGCTCAGCCACTGAGCCACACCGGCTGGGCCTCTGCCTTGAGTTTATAGTTAGATTCTCCTTCTGGTCTGTACAGCAGTCCTGTGGGAGCCTAGAACTTTAGAGAACATCAGCCACAGACTCCAGACTTTGCAGGTTTCAATCCTTCCAGTACAAAACACAAAATCTGAACATAGCCCCCCTAGACACATGTTTACCAAGCACACACTGGTATAATAGGTTACATATTCGTAATATATGCACAAAAGTTACAGTCTTTGAAAAGGAGAGACCTGTATAGTATTTTCCCCAATTTAATCATCTGGAAATATCAGGCAAACCCAAAGCGAGGGTATTCTACAAAACACCTGACCGTTGATTGCAAGTCCAAAAAGTAAGTGCCCCCCCACTCTCCTAGTCTCCCTCTCTCTCCTGAGGCTGAAAGCTCCCCAACACACAGCCCCCAGAGTTTGATTTTCAGCCTGGATTTCTCTTGAGCCTCAGACCTGCACCAATAGTCTGCTGTGCCCCTCCCATGGGCCCCACCAGCCCTGTGGGTCTTTCAAAGCCAACAGGTTTGGAAAGGAACTGCCCAGCTTTCCATCCGTTCTCCCGTGGTCTCCACCCTCAAGGATGCCCGGCCAGCCACCCAGCTACTCCAACGGGGCGCCTTGAAATCCCTCCTCAGCACCACAGCTCACCCGTCCACCCCCTGAGTCCTTCCCACCCACGGCCAGTGCGCACGCTCAGGCCCTGGCCAGGCCTGGGGAACTAGCCGCTTAAGACCTGCCTTCTGTCACCTCCTCAAAATACAGATCTGTTCATTCACCCTTCAGTTTAACCACCTCCACTCACTCCCAGAGCCTTGGGGACCAAATGCAAGGGCACCTCACTAACATTACTTCTGGGGTCTCTCAAATGAACCCCTAACACTCAGACTGTGCTGCCAGAAATGCCTCCTTCCCACCCCAACCTCCCACGTGTATCCTGTGAGCCTCCCAGGCTGAGCCAGAGGCGGAGTCCCCCCCTTTGGGAACTGTGTTTTTGACCTTGCACCTTTCCTTTCCAGGCTGAACATGTGAACTTTTTCAAATACTCCTTGTGATGTGGTATTCATACCCTAATTACCCTCCTCTAGTCTCTCTCTGACTTGGTCACCATTTTAAAGAACCTGTTCTTTTCCCTAAGAGAGAAGTCTGGTCTCTTAAAGATGTCTTCCATTAACTCACCTTTAGTCATTGTGGAAAAAACTAATTGAACCTCAGCTGACAAGCCCAAGCGATACAAATGCTGACAGGATGGGATTCCTGGTCTGCATGGATGGACTAGACTAATCTGGTTAGGAAAGCATGTTCAGACCATCCACCAAACCAAAAATAAACAAATAAAACCCCCTGAAAGTCCCTGAATCACAATAATATCATTTATAACACTAAACGTGGAATTAGCAGATGTTCAGATAAATCATGGTGTGAAGATTTTTTAAGTTCAAAAATGAAATTTCAAAAATTAAAGTAGTCCTGGCCAGTTTGGCTCAGTGATCGAGCGTCAGCCTCTGGACCAAATGGTCCGGGGTTTGATTCAGGTCAAGGGCATGTACATTGGTTGCAAGCTCCTCCTCTGCCCGGCCCTGGTTGGGGGGCTCGTGCAGGAGGCCACCCATCGATGTGTCTCTCCCACATCGATGTTTTGCTCTGTCTCTCCCTCTCTCTTCCACTCTCTCTCGAAATCAATGGAAAAATGTCCTCAGGTGAGGATTGACAAAACAAAAAGAAATTAAAATAAAAAGTTGCCCCCAAGTAACTTCTAGATAGATCAGAATGCCTTTCCAGAGACACAAAACAGCCCTAAAATCCAGGGGCAGGAAAAGAAGAACTGGCATGAACACTGTGAAAAGAAGTAGAACTGTGCAGGCAGAGGCACAGGCTGGGGAGCAGAACCCAATTCCTCCCAACTGGTTTCCACGCGCCAGGCCCCAGCCCCCGTGATTCCCACAGCGGCGGCCTTCCCACCGCCTGGGCCAGGCGCCTGGGATGGGAAGGCCCACGCTCAGGAGAGCTGGTCTGGGTTCAAGTCCAGCCTTGCTGCTGCTGCTGCCTGGCGGCGTTGGGCAATGTGCTCGGGCGTGCCCACTCTGGCCTGCGCAAGGGCGGCCGTGGACTCACACGAATGGCGTGATGCACAAGAGGCCGAACCCGGCTGCCTGCACGCCCCTGGCGCAACGGCAGGGAAGCCGGATCCTCAGAAAGCCATGATCTGGCATGTGACCCCAAGACCGCGACTCACAGCCAGTGAGCACCCTGACAGTCGCTCACGGAGCGGCCGCGGAGAGGCTCGGAGTCCCTTTAGGAACAGCCAGGCGTCAACGACCCCTCCAAGTCCGTCTCCCGCAGCGATCACGGGCGCGGCTAGGGAGGAAGGCGCCGGGAGACGGAAGAGGAGCCCCTGCCCTCCGCGGACGGCTGCGGTGCGCACCCCGCGGAGAAACGCCTCCCCGGTCCGGAGCCGGAAGAGGCCGGGGGCGAGGCGGGCGGACGGCCTCCCTCGAGGAGGAAGGTGCGGCCGCTCAGACGCCCCCCCGCCCGGCCCCGGCCCGGCCCGCCGCGGCCCCCGCCCGCACTGCGGCGCCCGCCCCCGGGCACCCGCCCGGCGCCCCGACCCCGCGGAGCGCGCCGCCCGCCCGGTCCTCACCCGCCACCACCAAGGGCAGAAGCGCGACGAGCACAGCCATGGCTCCGGCGGCCGCGGCGGGGCGGGGGGACCAGGAACCGGCGGGAGGACGCGAGCGAGCACGGCGGCTCCGGGTGACGAGCTCCGGCGCTGGCCGAGCCGCTGGGACCGCCCCGTCGTCGCCGCGCTCGCCGGGGCCGCGCGCTCCGCCAATCGCCGGCGACGCCGCGGCCTGCGGGGGAGGCGTGGCCGGCGCGCGTGGGCTGGTGGGCGGGTCTAACGCCATGGGTGGGCGGGCCTAAGGTGACGGACGGGCGGCCCTTCGAATGGGAGACAGCAATCGCGGAGCCGGGCAGGCCCGCCCCCTGGCCCGTGACAGCTGGTCACGAGTTAGAGGGTCGCGCGGGCGGTCGCAGTGTGGGGAGCGGACCCCGTGCCGCTCCCGGTGACGGGTGCCCGCCGGCCGGCCGGGTCGCGTGGCTCTCCCTACGCGGGGGTAGCCGCGGAAGCTGCGTGGCTGGTTTGGTCTAGATCTATTGCCCACATGCCGAGTTCCGGCGGGGAGGAAGCCGGGAGCCCTGTCCTCCACGTAGGGCACCAGGAGTAATTTTTAGGATGAACATTCACGGGACGTACTGACGCTAAAAAAAGAACTTGGTTGTTTGTCTGAAATTCACATATTCCTGGGCGGCCTGTGTGCGGATTGCTGAATGAGGTGACCCTATCTCCTAAGCTTGTCTGACTTCCTGATCGACCAGGAGTGACGTGACAGAAACATCAATTACTTCCTTCGTCCACTCACCGCGGGCTCCGTGAGGGCTACACATATTAATCAGACCAGGCCCGCCCTCCCCGCCGCTCATAACTCTGCCCGTGCCGGGAGGAAAGAAGTAACGCAATGTAAACATCTGCAGTTAGAACCCCATTGCCAGCTGATGACATTGAAAGATGGGTGCGTTCCCATAGGCAAGGGTAGGTGATGTGGGGAGGGGATCCTACCAGGTAGGAAACTAAGTTGTGGGGGAGGCAGCACACGGTGGAATCACTTCTCTTCACATGCCCTGAAATTTCACTCCGTCCACCTCGCTGCACAGCCTGGGACCTGTTCCAGACCAGGGCCTGGGAAGAGCTTGTCCTAGATGAACCTTACCCGGGGGCATAGTCAGCTGAAGGTGGAGCAGAGCGCTTGCGCACCCATCCAACCTACAGGAACAGGGAAAGGAGTGGATTGTTCTGTTCTTGAAAGAGTTCCAGAACATTCTTCCGTCTTTTAATTTGAAGATGACCAAAAATATTGTAAATAGACTGGAAGGAAATCCTTCCTCTTCCCCCTCCCGCAAGAAAACGTCAAAATCTCACCATCTCTCATGCTCTACCCATGTCTTTTTTTTTAAAGTATTTATTTTTAAAAAAATATATTTTATCGATTTTGTACAGAGAGGAAGGGAGAGAGATAGAGAGTTAGAAACATTGATGAGAGAGAGTCATGGATCAGCTGCCTCTTGCACACCCCCTACTGAGGATATGCCCACAACCAAGGTACATGCCCTTGACCAGAATCTAACCCAGGACCCTTCAGTCCCCAAGCCGACGCTCTATCCATTGAGCCAAACCGGTCTCGGCTCCACCCATGTCTTGAGAAATAACATCCCTTGCTTAGCTAAGGGTGAATCTCTTCCCCTTTCAATCTAAGGCCCTTTTCCTCTGAGGTCTTAAAGGGGCAGTGCTGCCTCTTACAGCGGCAGAAGCCAGGAAGATAGCCGTGGTAGGAGGCCCTCTGGTTTCCCACACTGAGATTGAAACCTGGGGAGGGCATATCCGTAAGGTCCCGTTCTGACCCATCGGCAGCTCTGCTTCATGAAGGCAGCCCTTTGGATTCAATTGAGCGCTTCGTGAGGAACCGGTGATTCGGTTAACTTTCCCGTGAAGCGTTTAGGAGTGGATGTGTGAGTGGCAGGACACTAGTTGAAGGCATGACATGTAATGTTTGCCTAAAAGAAGCCTCCTCCCTCACCACACCTCTCCTCCCAGGCCATTGCCCTGATGGGAGGACTCTCGGAAGATTCAGAGAACAAAAACTTCAAACTCTTGAGTTGCAGGAGAGGTACACATAATACTTGAAAGAATATGTGCATAATTCAGTTTGCTTTCCTAACTCTCTTCCTCCGTCCCGTCCCCCTCCCCCCATACCCCATTAATTCCAGCAATAAATTCTGAGTGATCCCAGATAGAGCAGATGAGGTGGCCTGGTCCCTGCAAATCAGCCATCGGGGAGCCCTGTGGAGGCCAAGGTCATGTCATGCCCCAAGACCATGCAGCCCCCACTCAATTAAAAATTAAGAATTCATTTTCAAAAGCTAGCATATACAACTCTGTAGAATGAAGAAGTGATAGGGGGTGGGGGCAGGGGCAGAGTAACTTCACAGGGGAGAAACCTGACAAGAGACCTCAGCGAGGTGATCAAGGTGCCCGTCAACAATCACACACCATGTTGATGCTACACACCCAGATATGATGTGAGGAAAATAGCGCTTCAGCCTGGCTGGCGTGGCTCACTGGTTGAACGTTGACCTATGAACCAGGTGGTTCTGGGTTCAATTTCTGGTCAGAGCACAGCCCAGTGTTGTGGGCTCCATCCATAGGAGGGGGCGTGCAGGAGGCAGCTGATCCATGATTCTCTCTCATCATTGATGTTTCTATCCCTTTCTCCCCCTCCCTTCTTCTTTCTGACATCAATTAAAAAAATTTTTTTTAAAGGATTCGGCTATAAAAAATAAAATAAACTGACCTTTGTCAGTTTCAGCATTATCAAACTTTAATTGACCAAACCTGTTTCAACAGACATTTAATGTCTTGACTTTACATGAAATGCTGTGGTACCCATCCATTTCACAGAATGTTTGCACATACACTGAGTGGCCAGATTATTATGTGTTCAGAGACCATAATAATCTGGCCATTCAGTGTATGTTTTTATTTTTATTTTTTAAAAAAATATATTTTATTGATTTTTTTACAGAGAGGAAGGGATAGAGATAGAGAGCTAGAAACGTCGATGAGAGAGAAACATTGACCAGCTGCCTCTTGCACACCCCCTACCTGGGATGTGCCCGCAACCAAGGTACATGCCGTTGACCAGAATCAAACCTGGGACCTTTCAGTCCACAGACCGACGCTCTACCACTGAGCCAAACTGGCTTCCGCTCAGTGTATGTTTTTAATAACTGCATCATATGTCATTGTGTAGATACACCCTAATTTATTAGTCTCATCCCCTATTTTTGTATTTTGTGTGTTGGCAGAACCTAGATCCGCACCCAGTTCTGGTTAAGGCCAAAGCCCATGTCATTCCCAATACTTCTAGAATCTTCCGCAAGATTGAAACTGGGAGTCGAAGTACCAGGGGCTCATCGTGGCTGCTGCTCTCTCCCCAGTTCCTGTTTGGCTGGGGGTCCATTCCAGACCTCAACTGACCTGTCCCCTCTGGGTCAGCTTGAAAGGGTTCCCCACCCTGGTCCCGAGTGTGGTTTCCTGACCAAACATAAGGAATGCTGCTGTTACAACCTAATTTTCAACCTGGGAGGGTGGCAAGATCCGATCGTCAGAATATGAAGTTAAATCTAACCTCATGCATCACGCAGTACAGTGAACATCCTAATTAATAATTCAGAGCGCCGAGTGCAGCGTGGGGAGGCCCTGTGTCTCACTGCCTGCTTGTGGAACAATTTGCTGCCTTCACTGCACTGCACTCACCTTTCACCCACCAAGCCAGAAAGTGGCGACCGTATATTAATAACAATTAATATTAATTAATATAATAATAATTTCTCAATGGTAATGCCACTGAATAAACTTCTTTACGTTTCATCTTCTGAGGCGATGGAGATTTTGATGTGGATTTTTGCCTTCATTATAATGTTTTATAGTCTATGTTCCTAAGAACTAGGTCAGACTTTGCTTTATGGCTGTAATTTATTTTGGAGTGCCTGATATTTACATTCCTAAGCAAGCAGTACATACAGTATATAATGCCATATTAACACTGGAGCTTTAAGTTAGAGGAGTTATTTTTTTAATTGAAATAACAACTCAGCCCCATTCTATACATAGCCCGATGTAACTTAATTGTTTTTAAATGAACTCATCTGCCATTTCCCTCCTGCGGGATCAGTCTTTCCCACCCCACACACCTCCACCCCGGCGCCCAGCCAGCCAAAGGTCAGTTCCATCGTTTCTGATCCTCCAGAACATTTTGTCATTCTTTACCTTATGCAGCAGGCGCCTCCTAAGTTGGGATTTGAATTTGTTTCTAGGCAAGAGAAGCTGCATGGTAAAATCTGTTATTTGTAATTGGCAAGGATTGCAAACAACTGCTACCAGAAAGGGGCCTGGGTCTGGAACAGGTCTGCCTCAGGCTGGCGGCAGTGTGTGGCTTCTTGACTTCGTGCCGGAAAGATTTCACCAGCAAGTCCCCGTGACTGTGAGAGTGTGTTTGTCACAGCGGGGGCTGGGCGACCAGAAAGGGCCAGGATAGAGTAAGCCACAGAGGAACCTGGGTGAGGCTGCTTCCTCACTGAGAAACCAGGGGAAAGACGCCTTGGGCAGGTTCAGGGGGCTAGCCCCGGACCAGCTGCCGCTGCCCATTGCTCCCCCAGATGCAAGTCTTTTGGACTCCCTTAGAGGTTAGGAGGTGCATGGCTGTGGGGATGAAGTGGGGGGAGGAAGAGGTCCTTCATCTTGAGGGTTTTAAAGGCTGGGAGTTTAGGGGAGGTCTTAGGGAAGGGTCTCAATAGACTATTCTTCAGCTTTTCCAGGTGTGTCCTTTTTAAAAAATATATTTTTATTGACTTCACAGAGGAAAGGAGAGGGAGAGAGATAGAGACATCCATGATGAGAGAGAAGCACTGATGGGCTGCCTCCTACATGCCCCCTACTAGGGATCAAGTCCACAACCTGGGCATGTGCCCAGACTGGGAATCAAACCATGACCTCCTGGTTCTTAGGTCAATGCTCAACTTCTAAGCCACACTGGCCGGGCAGGCATGTCCTTTTGAAACCAGA